TAGCAACGCCCAAGCGCAGCGAACCCCCACAAGAACCCGTCTCTCTTTTCCGGAGATGTCTTTCTCCCCGGATACAAGCCAAAATGATGCGGTCCAACAGCCCACAACCCCTGTGATTGAACCAGTGCCTGAGGAACAAGAGACCTTAAGCACCCCGCTTGTTGCACAACCAACAGGTGAGAGCGATGCGCCCCAAGAGGGTGCAGCCGCTGGCGCACCAGGGGGGGAGGCCAGCTCAGGGTCTCCCGAAGATCCACAGCCTACTTCAGTAGACCAAAGGGTTGATGAATTGGCTAAGTTGGTTTCCGATCTAGCGAAGTTGGTCGCAGCTAGTGCCGCGCAGTCTGGTAGTGCAGCCGCGCCTTCGGGTGCAGCCCCAAGCGCACCAGCAGAAGCACAGTCCGACCCACCACCTCAGGTACCCACGTTGAACCTAGGAGGCACCACTCAAGCCACAGCGCCCCCAGGCTCACCAGGATCAGGCGGATCATCCAGCTCATCGTCCTCATCTGATTCCTCAGCAAGGTCCGAGCACCCAGCATGTAGGATGTGTGGTTCTAAGAAACACGCAGAAGAGGAGTGCCCAGAGCTCACCTGCAACAAAGATGGAGGTGATGATCCAGCCCCTGACGGTGATGGGGCCGCAGCTTCAAGCGCGGCGGCTCCAAAGACCAATGCAGAGCTTGAGGAGGAGACCATCAGAGTGAAGTCGCTTTCTGATTTATCCTTCCCAAACCCGCCACAAAACGCAGCGCAAGCGAGGGGGTTTGTGAATCAGACTTTGATGGCCATTGGAAAGCTCCAGAAGACCCCAGGCGATGAGGTGTACATCTGGGCACAAGATTGCCTCAAGAAGGAACCTGCCGCACTTTGTAAGGACGGGCGCTTCCCTCGCCTTGACCGCGAGATCGCCGCCAAGCTTATCAAAGTGTGTCGCCACGGTCGCTTCGGGTTGCTTTTTCAGCAGATGGTTGAGTCTGAAAGGCTTAAGTCGGGTGGCATGCCCAATGGGCGCTGCATGCTGCGCGCCATATACAGTCACTTCCAGTTGGAACGTGATCGTATGGGTATGTTAGCGGAACGTAACCTCCTGAACATTAGGATCGGAGGGGATGGTATTTCCCACCTGGAGGCATTTCGTGATAAGTATCACTACGTCGCCAATACCATTCCTGTAGAGGACCTTCCTAAGGACAGTACGATCTTCAATCATCTTATCGATGAGTTCGAAAAGGTTTCAGTTCTTAAGCCCAAGGTAGAGAAGGCGAGGGAAGCAAGGCCGGGATCACACCGTCGCACCGCCGCATGGTTGTGGAACCGCGTGGACATTGCAATCGACTTGCACCAGCAGCGTGTCAATCGACAGGAGTTCGATAAGTCCTTGCAACAGAAGCCAGAGACCTTGACTTCCACCTCCCAGCCTTCAAAGCCAAGCGTGCCCGCAACACCCGCACCGGGTGCTGCCGCAGGCGCACCGAAAGGAGGCACTACCGACAAGCCGCCGAAGAAGGAGAAGAAAAAGAGGAAGAAGAAAAAGAAAGACGAGGGCGAACCCGAGGTTGAGGTCCCAGGCGCACCTGCCCCAAAGGGCAAGGGTAAAGGCGGTAAGAGCGGAAAGGGCAACGGAACACCACGAAGCCCGAAAGGTGGTGACACGACGCCCAGATCTGCTCAGGCCAAGAGCGCCAGGAACATGACCCCGGAGGAGAAGGCCAAGACACCGTGTATGTTTTGGGCGTTCGGCGCCTGCAAAGGCGACCCCTGTCCGTTCCTTCACGACAGCAAGAACAAGTACACTGGCCCTAAGCCCAAGTCACTCGCAAAGCCAGACGCTAAGGCTAAGCCTAAGGCAAAGGCGAAGGCGAGCGCTGCAACGGCACCTTTAATCAATGCTCTTCCCGCCGAGCTGAATCAGGATGGCAAGATCACCTGGCTTTGGGACACGGCAGCAGGTAGGCACTTGATAGGTCGCCAGGCGCTTTCCTCCAAGGCCCTTTCCTGTGTCACCCGCTCCGAGACACCTGTTGGTTTTGCCACTGGTGGCGGCGCGCGTGAAGGCACTCACAGCCTCGCGTTTGAGGGCAGCCGGTTGTTACCTTCAGAAGAGCAGGTCTACGTACTTAAGGAGTGTCCACCAGCCTTTTCTGTAGGTAAAGCTGTCCTTGACGAGGGATCCTTGTTTGTCTGGGACCCTCGAGAACACCGTCCGTACTTTGTGAAGAAAGAAGACGTGCACCGCTGCAAGCTTCGTATCCCGCGCAAAGCGAGGATCAATGCGACCAGGGTCGTGGAATATGTCCCTCAGTTCGAGGAGACATTGCGACCGGCAGTAAGGGAACAGAGCCCAAGCCTAAGTCCCATTACTGCATCGGCATCCCCTGCGCCGCAGGAAGATGATACTGTGAAGAGGCTGAAGCAAGCTATCCTCGCACAACCTCTGGCGATTATGATTGGGAAGCCGACGTCGTCGAGAAGCATGCAGAGAAGAAGGCTGAAGCAAAGCGGCTTTTTCGCGAAGGCGCTGTAGGTGAGACAGCTGCCAGTGAGAGCTCCGAAGAAGAGCCCTTTCCTGAACTCTTCAAGGGAAAGCCCGCAAGCACGCAACAGCCTGCCGAAGGCACAGCCGCCAAGGAGGCTGCCTCAGGCGCCTCTAGTTCGCGTGAGGGGGCTGCTCCAAGCGCCCCTTCCACAGAGCAACCACCACCGTTGCCGCCTCCTCCAGAGCCCTACTCTAAGACCGAAGAACTTAGAGCCGAAGCCACTTCTGAGAAGCATCTTAGGACCCACTTTCCTAAGAATCCCTTCTGTAAGATCTGTCACATCGCCAAGACCACCTCAATGCGTGTGGCTCATAAGCCCGATGCCAAGGCAGATGACATGATTGATGTCCCCCCTGCTCCGTTCCAACAGCTTGCCACTGATGATGTCATCATGGCAAAAGGTGATGAACACCGAGGCATAGGAACCGGAGGGGTTAAGTCACATCATGTAGTAAGGGATGTTTTCTCAGGGGCTAGAGTTGCGTACCCTATGACGCGTAGGGGTGCTCCCCAGCATGCACGCAACTTCCGGCATTTTATAGGTCTAAGGGCAAACGAGATGTCGCCGACCTGCCTCATTAAACTAGATGAAGCTGGCGAGTTGATCGTAGCGGCGGAGGAGGTAGGCCTGACCCCGGAACCCTCTCTCCCTAACAGATGGCCCCACAACGCCTTACTCGAGAGGGATATCCGCGAGGAAAAGGAATGCTGCCGTGCTATCCACCTCCAGAGTGGACTTCCTTACGACATGCATTCTTACTCGTACCCGTACGCGTGCCTTTCCTTGTCCTTTGACAGGACGGCACCGCTAGGGGGGGTCACGCAGTGGGAGGCCCTCACAAAGGAGCCCTTCAGTGGGAAGAGGGCCTGTTTTGGGCAACTTGTCTGGTACCGCTCTAAAGGTTCTAAGCGCACTCTTGAACCCAACATGTCACCAGGTCTTTTCCTAGGGTGGCGGATAGACGCAGGCATGCGCTATCGCAATGTTGTTAAGGTTCTAGACTACAACGACTTTCGTGGTAAACGCAACACGTCTGTCCACGACGTGCCAGAACCTGAGTTGTACATAGAGGACGGTCCGCCCATCTTCCCAGTCGCGAATGCAACCCGTAAGGCGCTAGTAGACGGCTCCACCTTGAGTGCTGCCTCCGGCGCACTCCCCGAGATCCCATTGCGGGAGATTCCCTTTGCTCTTGAAAGCATCGGGCCGCCGGCGCCCAGAACACCTGGCGTTAGGACGGTTTATATCACCGCCGATAGGATTGTTAAGTTCGGGGAGACGCCGGGTTGCTTAGCGTGTAGGGGAAAGGCCACAAAGCACACCGACACTTGCAGGGCACGCTTTGCCGAGCTTGTTAAAGCAGACAAGGAAGAAGCTGCTGCAAGGAGGGCTGCGCTTCGCGCCCTGGGTGAGTCACCAGAGACCCCCGCGCCTAGCGTTGCTCCGGAAACCCCTTTTCCAAGCACTGCTCCCGAAACTCCTGCTCCAAGCGTTGCACCCAGTACTCCAGTACCTCCAGCTTCCGCTACAGTGAGCGTTGTTTCTGCAGGCGCTGCTTTGCCACCGTGCACTGCCAGTGCCACGTGTCTCCTAGACACTGTGCGTGGAAAGGAGAACTTACCTGTGTTTGGTTTAGCTGCACCCTCTATCGGGGAGGACAAACCACAAAAGAGAGGTAACAAGCGGAGTCGAAGGAGAGGGAAGCCCACTAAGCTCACAACCGTCTTTGAGTACGCATGTTCCCCAAACTCAATGTTAGGGCGCGTGAACGAGGAGCTTGGAGTACCCCATGTACGCCTCGCCAAAGAAACTTTGGACGTTGAGAACGAACTTGTGGCTGCCCAACTGCACGAACAGTTCAGTGCGTGTCCTAAGAGTCGCCTCTGGGTGTCTCTGCCGTGCACCTCTGGATGCCAGTGGCATCGCGTTCAGCTTAAGAGAGGTGGCGGCGAGTATCGCGCACGACTCCTGCAAAAGATTCATAGGTCTAAGAAGTTGTTCGCACAGTTTGCTGAGCATGCTAAGACCGCGCTTGACCTCGGGATTGGCGTCACGTTTGAGTGGCCGAGGTATTCCGATTCATGGAAGAGGCCTGATGTAAAGGAGTTCTTTAAGGATCCTAGGTTTAAGGTTGTTGACTTTGATGGTTGTATGTTAGGTGTGTCTGCTTCAGGGGGGCAGCCGGTTAAGAAACCATGGCGCCTCATGACAACATCCGCATCTATCGTATCAGCCTTTGAAGGGATTACCTGCAACCATGATCCCAGTGAGCACGTTGAGGCTCGGGGAAAGGATCTTGAACTCACTGGGTTGTACACGCAAGAGATGTGCGAGCGCATCGCCTTTGCCATCAACCCCAGTAGGGCCTATATCTCGGTTCCTGCGATGCCGATCTTACCCACTTCCACAACTACTGAACACCGCGAAAAGGAACAGGAACTGAAGCACGTTTCCGCTCTCAGTGGATACGAGGACCTTGCTGCCGTAATAGAGTCCGACCAGGAAGCCTCTAAGCTTGTAGAAGAAGTCGTCGACCTTTCCGCCCTTATGTGTGCAGTCCATAGCATACCTAAGGAAGCACCCTCAAAGGAAGTGTCTGCAATGGTGACGAAACTTCTCTCTCGGGCCGAAATGCTCTCCTCACCGGAGGCCCTCAATGCGGTGAAACAGGAAGCAGACGGTCTTCGTGCAGTTCCTGTGTGGGACGAAACGAACCCGCAGGAATACGCTAGCGTCCAAGCGCGAGCGCGCCGCACAGGCACTAAGGTACACTTCGGCAAGCTGATGAGCATTGCATCCATCAAGTTTTGGGAACTTGCCAAGCACCTTCAGAAGGTTAAAGGCCGAATCGTGTACCGAGGTGACTGTGCGAAGGACGAGGAGGGCGCCGCAGCGGTTTACAGAGAGTTAGGTGCAAACCCCACCTCTGTTCAGGGACTTAATGCCTGTTTAGCTTACGGTAGCTTACCTGGCCATCAGTCTAGTGCCGCAGACGCCGTCAAAGCGTATGTGCAAGCTCTTCTTAAATCCAAGTACCAAACATGGATAGAGCTACCGCCTGAACTTCGTCCTGCTTGGTGGCGTGAGTGTTTTGCAAAGCCAGTAGTGCTGCTTTTACGCGCACTGTACGGCCACCCAGAAGCGGGCGGACTTTGGGAGAAACACCTTAAAGGGGTTCTCAAGAGTATGGGTGGACAAGAACTGCCGGAATATCCAGGTAACTTTTGGTTCCCTGAAACTAAGCTCCTTCTTTCCACTTACGTTGATGATCTTACCCTCTCTGGACCACAGGAGGAGCACCAACCCTTTTGGGATGCTTTATGTAAGGTTGTTGATGTAGAACCACCAGAGCCTGTGTATCGGATCTTAGGTCGCAATCATTGCACTATCAACGCCGAGCCAGAAGGCACCGAGAATGCTGCCCTAGGCGCATTAAAGGGTGCCATGGCGTTTGATATGTTTGACTACACGCAACAGACCGTAGACCTTTACAAGGGCCTCACTGGCCTTAAGGCTCTAAAACACGCTGCCACTCCCTTTGCTCCAGAGGCTTCACTTCCCGTGAGCCAGGAGGAGATCGCTGGGGAGCTTGCTCCTAATGCATGTAATTAAGGTGTTAATGAAGGCCCTTTGGCTAGGCAGACTTGCACGTCCTGACTTAGTCAAGCCGATAGGTGACCTCGCGACCAAGGTACAAAAGTGGTCGAGGAACGATGATAAAAAGCTTCTTCGCCTGATAAGCTACATCGATTCCACTAAGACCCACCGCCTTGTAGGCGCTGTGTCGGACGGGCCAAGGGAGCTGCATCTTGCGCTCTACGTCGATGCTGACTTTGCAGGGGAAAGGGACGATGCTAAGTCCACTAGTGGTGGCTTCTTAGTCCTGAAAGGTCCCAACACCTTCTTTCCTCTTGCATGGGTGTCCAAGCTGCTAAGTTTCTTAATTCACGGGGATCAAAGCGGCCCTCGGGAACTAAGGGTGTCCGGTTGTCCCAAATTGTTGTTCTCGTCGCTTGTTGGCTGACAGCAACTCACACGGCGACGGTTTTAAACATGATGTGTTGTTTTGCCTGCGATCACCCAACACAACACTGAAGCCACCGAGGGTTTGAAACCACCAAGTTCCGGGGGAGCGGATTTGTTGCTCATGATGCTCATGTTTTTGCGATGGCTCTACGACACACTCCTGCGCTGGCTTACATGGCTTCAGCAAAAGTTCCATGGCGCGGCAGTACATAGCACCGTGGAGCACGCGCAGCTGGCCTTGGAGGGTACGGAAGCTTCTGCTGGGGAAGTAAGGGGTCCGGAAGCTCGACGACGCCGGGCTCGTAGCTTGTCTGCGGTAAGCATTGCTACGTATCTGTAGGCCATATACTGTTGCGTTTCGTGACGTGAAGCACGCCGGCAAGGTGTTGACTATGCAATAGTGGACGAGGTGTTGCCAGCTAGTCCCCTGACTGATGCCGCGTGCATGCAATCTCTCATCACCATGCAGTCTGTCGCTTATGCCACGGAGTGGCACAGGTCAGTTGTGGAAGATGTCTTTGCGGAGTGGCATGCTATGCACACAGAAGATATGTTTCGTGCCTAGATGCAGCTGGGACTGTCGTTCTCTTAAAGGAGGAGAATCAGACGGCTGAACATGACGCCAGTGCCGGTTTAGGTATGTGTGTGTGTGTGCGAAACATGGTCCATGGAATTTGACATGGCGACAGTGGCGACAGGCAATTTCTGTCTAGGACAAAACACACATCATATACTTTTGCCGCCCTTCCCGCCTGCAGCCAAATAGGAGGGGACCATGGGACATGTCATGTGACATTACATGCCGTAACTGTAACATTGGAAATCCACAACAGTTGTCAGCGCTGCAAGCTTAGAGACTTTCAGCCGTGGCCGTGTCGTAGTGGCGTAGTGGCTGTAGTGACACCGGCTTGAAGTCTTGAACTTATATTTCTATGTTCAATGTTAGCCTGTTGGCCTTTTGTTGAGCATGGAAAATCATGTGCGGCAGCTGACGAGTGCACACGATGCCCTCATGCAATGCGCTGGTTGCGTGTTCATGAATGGGACGCCAGACGAGGCCACCTTAATTTAACGACATGGAGTTGATTTGGCGGGGATTGCTTGGGGCTGCGGGTTGCCGGCCGGCACGGCGGTTGCAGCTGGAGGTCAAGACTCTTGGTGTTTTGGACTTCTGGCTTTCGGGGTGGAGGTTCTGGTTGCTTTGAATTGAACGGTGACTGGGCATGGCAACAGATTCTCACTGCTGACGGCTGACGCTATCTTTGACCTTTCGGTGCCACTGCCGCCTCTCCAGCCGAAATCCATTGCAACATGCGGGCAATTTTTCGGCCGTATCACACACCATCATTCGTGCAGTCAAAGCCGTGAAAGCCTAAGCCAGCCGACTCTTTCCAGTCGTCTCAGATGCCAGGGCCCGGGCCCTAGCATTAGGGTTCCGGTTCAGGAATTTCTAGACGGGGTTCGGATTCGGAGTTACGACGCTTGGACTGTGGGAACCCTAAACTAATCCCTAAAACCCAAGCGTGAGTGCTGAAATCTTAAACCCTAAACTCTAAACCCTATATATAAACCCTCCTCTCAGGTCTTGCGATGGCTCGACTGGCTCGACTGCTTCGTTTTCCTCGCGTTGAGAGGTGGCGGGGTTCGGCTTGTAGTTGGAAGTTTTAACGTAAGCCGTAGGCCGTGTGTCGGGTGCATTATAGTAGCTTCTGGCTTGTTTTGAATGGGGTTTGTGTCCTTCCTGCAGTGCCCATCAGAACCCGAATTTCGGATATCGGGATCTCTTTGGCGGGTTTTGAAGTGTGTCAGCGGGGTTTCTTTTCGGTTCAGGGCACTCAGGGCACTCTACCCGCTTCGGCCCTCGGTTTGGACCGTCATTTGGACCCCAGCTGCTCTGCGAGTGCGTTGCATCTCTCAACCACCGTCCCGGCCTAGGATATTTTTTGTAGCACCTTTCCCCCCCAAAAAAAATATCCCAGGCCCCAACCCCGAGACCCCCGCAACCCAATCTCCCCAACTCCCGCCCCCCCCCGTACCCCCCACCCGCGAGGTTGCTGCTCAGCAGGCTAGGCCCGTAGGCATGTCATTGCATCCCAGACGCAGCCGAGCACATACATCAGCTGACACTGTTGCATATAGTTCCCAAGAATGCGAATGCGCCGATAGTTCCTGAGATTTTGCAATATAGCTCCAATTCCAAAGCACCTTTGAGCAGTCACACTGCAAGATCGGTCTTGTGTTTAATCTGGGTTCGAGATGTCTATATAATCCCTATACAACCAAAAAGATTATATAACCTTTCGTTCCTCATGATACCCGATGATAATCCCGATAAGTAGGTATGGGCGCTGCGCAGTGCAACGCGAACGCAAGCGCTGTGGCTGTAGTCACACCCGATGGTTCCGTCTCGACCTGTGGTGATGCTGACTGTGGTGGTGACTGCTCCGCTGTAGAACAGAGGCTGAATGATGTTTTGGCCGTGGCAGCAACCGGCGCAGCTTTTGCTGCCATTCTTGGAGACTTTACCGTGGTGACATGGGGGGATGCTGAGCGCGCAGGCGACTGTAGTGCAGTACAGCATCGACTGAGGAACGTGCGTGATGTCCAATCCACAGGAGCGGCGTTTGCTGCTATCCTTTTTGATGGCTCGGTCGTGGCCTGGGGAATGGCTCGTGCTGGCGGTGAGGCGCCGCTTCAGCGTCTTCTGGCTGTGGAGCGCATCCAGGGCAGCGATGCAGCGTTTGCTGCAATACTTGCCGATGGCTCCGTGGTTACCTGGGGGGACCGTGATCTTGGAGGCGACTGCCGTGCAGTGCAGCATCGGCTGAGGAATGTGCATCATATACAAGCCACTCTCGATGCTTTTGCTGCGATCCTCGCAGATGGAACTGTTGTCACCTGGGGTGTCGCCGAATCCGGTGGCGACAGCAGTGCTGTTGCACACCGCTTGCGCGGTGTGCAACGCATCCAAGCCTCTGCATACGCTTTTGCTGCCATCCTTGCCGACGGGACTGTTGTCACCTGGGGTATCGCTGATTATGGCGGCGACAGCACAGAAGTGCAACAGGAGCTGAGGAATGTTCAGCACATCCAACAAAGTTTCGGCGCTTTCATTGCAATCTTGGGCAATGGCTCCGTGGTTACCTGGGGCGATGATTCCTGCGGTGGCGATACCACGCTTGTCCAGCCGCAGCTGCGCAACGTGATTCAGGTTCAGGCCAACGGTAGTGCTTGCGCTGCTCTTCGTGCCGATGGATCTGTCGTAACCTGGGGCTCTCCCCAACTGGGTGGCAACAGCACGGATGTGCAGGACCAGCTGAGAAATGTGCAGAAGATCCAGGCCAACGACGTCGCATTTGTTGCGATAAAAGACGACGGCCGGGTTGTCATCTGGGGGGCCATGGACCAGGACCAGATAGAGCTGCCCGATGGTCTTGGCGTGCGGCAGGTCGCGGCTACAAAGCGAGGATTTTTGTTTCTTCACGACGATGGCTCATCCCAGTGGTGCTCCCTTTGAAAATCCGATTTGCTACAGGTTGCCGTGAATGTGAATGGGATGCATCAATGTGACTCACACAATTTTTGGGGAGCTCTGTGTAAGTCCGGAACTCTGAACCCTTGACCCTTGATCCCCAAACCCTGAACCTTGAACCCGAAACCGAAATCGTTGGCCCAAACCCTGAACCCGAAATCCCAAACTCTGAACCCTCGCTGGGCTGCTTTGGGGTTTGGGCTTTAGGGTTGGAGATTGTAGATTTTATAGATTCGGGTTTCCGGGGCTGAGGTTTCGGGTGTCCGTTTTCGGGGTGGCTGCCATTGGGGTGCTACAGAAGTTGCTCAATTAAACCCTAACCCTAAACCCAAACCCCAAACCCTAGACTCTGAACCCTTGAGCCCCAAACCCTAGACCCTGAACCCGAAACCCATGGAAACCCCAAACCGTTGGCCCTTGAGCCTACCTGAACCCCAAACCCTAAAGCAGGTCCGTTCTTCTTCGCTGCCGCCGGCCGTGCTGAGCCTCAGGGCGTTTGCCGGGTTTTTGTTTGGTTTTGGAAGGGTCTGGGTTTTTTTTTGGGTTTTTGTTTTTGCGAGTGCTTGAGTGCGTGCGGAGTGCCTTGCCTTGCACTGTCCCCCTCCTGTATTCCCCTTCTGTATTCTAGCGTGCCCTGCGCCCCCTGGCCCAGCCCCATACCCGGGACCCGGTGTCCTCTCAGGTGTCTTCGTGTTCTTCGCCCCTTCTCGAGAGATCGCTTGGACCCTGGTTTGTCTGCTCGAAGTTACATTTGTTCTGAATTGTCGGAATGCTGGTAGGATTGCTTACGCTTCCTCCTCGTCCCTGACTGTTCTCCCATCTCACTGATCTCACTGCCACTGCTCAGGCCTGGACCTTTTCGGTGCCGAACTGCCGAACCGAGCCTCAGAGGGCTGCCGGGGTCTTTTGGTTTGGGAAGGGTCTGGGTTTTGGGGGTTTTCGCGAGTTTTTGAATGCGTGCAGAGTGCCTTGCCGTGCACTGTCCCCCTCCCGTATTCTAGAGTGCCCTGCGCCCTGCGTCCCCCAGCCCCATTCCCGGGACCCGCTGTCCTCTCAGGTGTCCTCGTGTTCTTCGGGGCCTCTTCTCGAGAAATCGCTTGGAGCCTGGGGTGCCAACTTTCACAGATGGGTTTTTGGGGTTTTTTAAAAGGCTGCATTTGCAGGGACAGGGTGAGGTAGGTGATCCGGAATGTTCCGTGTGCGAGATGTGCCTTTGCAAGTCTGCCTGATTCATTGGAAGCGCTGGTGGTCTGTTTAATAGAGGGTTTCTGTCCTTGTGTTTTCTGGCCTCATGAATCGTGACATCAATCTCCAGACCTACTCGGCCCTTCGAGCTTTGAAGCCCAGATCGGCATTTTTCGGAACGGTTCCGGACGGTTTGGGGCTTTCTGAACAGGGTTCTAACAGTTCCTGAGACTTGCCTGGTGGTTCCAGAGCTCAGAGCCCCTGTTGGCGCTTACACACAAACAACCTGCCGGGCATTTGAACTGATTCATGTTTAGAAAAACCACTGGGTTCCATGTCTGAGTGTCCTGAGTCCAAAACCTTTGTCTTGTGATGCCCAGGTCGCGGTCGCGGGAAAGCTGGGCTTATGCCTCAGCGATCAGGTGATGCCAAGAAGAATACAGTTGGCAGCCTGGGGTCTTTTGGTTTTGGAAGGGTTGGATTTTCCTTTTTTTTTGTCTGTGCAGGAGTGCCTTGCCTTTCGCTGTCCCCGCCCCCGCCCCTCCCGAATTCTAGATTCTAAAGTGCCCTGCAGCCCCATTCGTGGGACCCCCGCTCCTCTCAGGTCTCTGCGTCTTCTTCACGGTCATTTGAGATCGCTCGGACCCTGGAGTGCTTCTGGATCACCTTAAGCCCCTAAGTTAGAGTAGCTTCTGGATTGTTGAAATTGGGATTTGTGTCCTGCCTGCAGTGGCCATCAGACCTTAGTTCGGATCTCAGGGTCTCAGGATCTCTTTGGCGTCTATTTACAGTTCCTATACCAAAGTCACTATATTATCCTGAACTGCTCATTGACATCCCAGAACTCT